TGGGGGGGTTGGGGTTTAGAAATGTACATATACCGGTAGTCACTGTCAGGTCATTTTAAAACAGCATAACACAAAACACTGCCCTTAACATTAAATTTCAACTATCAAATTACTAGTTCCCTTCAAATCTCATACCCAGAGCCCACATTCTTTTTGGTCAGCATCGTTTCTCAGTGCTGACCAAGAGAAATGTGCCCCTAGGGGACCGGGGTCCAATGAGTAACAGATTCCCTAGACAATATAGACAACACTATTTCAGACACAACACTTACATCATCTTCTATTTCAGTTGACTTGATGGCATTTTTATTATCTGAGGTGACGTCACTACCAATGACATCATCACCAAAATCGTCATCATCATCCCAGTCAATGTCTATATCTTTCTCTTGCACAGGGGGTATCACTACCAGACTAGATGATGAGCGCTCGCTGTTTGATGGGGATGGTGCCTTTAGATGATTTGATACATCTTGTTGACCTTTTGACAAAATGCGATAGGAATCATATTATTAATTACTATACAACGATTTCAAAGAGGGTCAAGGGGCAAACAGCAATAAACCGTTTTCTCAAGGTTGCGTGCGCATCCAAATTTAAGGAACTTGACGGGCTGCGATACCAGAGCAGGGGCTTATAACGAGAATTATCATACATTTCTATGAATTTTTTTTCGTAAAAAATTCGTAACATCAATTATTCTTCTCTTTAAATATAAAACTGGCTTCTCAGTTTTACTCTATTTGCAATTTTCAGTTTTGTGGCCCATCAAGTTAGATGCACAGCAACCTTGAGAAAATGGTCTATTAACACCTTGCATTACGTCAGAATGCAGTTTAATTTGGAGGACATACTAATAGGTTTCCAATTCTCAGGAGATTGAAGTTCTTTTGTTTTGTCCTCCAAATCGAGCTCCTTTGAGGTCACATGTAAGGGGTCTATAGGTTATAAGTGATGGGCAATAATGAGTGATAAGAGATAGGTCATTACAAAGTCCAAGAATAGTTGGAATAACTTGTGTTTCTTATTAGTATTCTTGTCAATAACACACAGGTTATTGTCAGATATTTAGTGTTGTTTGTAATTGACCAAACCAATTATAAAACCCTCAATAAATTTGTGTTTAGAAGTGTGCTTATAATACCAAGCCTAACAATAATTGACAGCCATTTAGCAATCACCTCAAGAGATATATTAAGTACTTCCATAACTCACTTTTATCAGTTTTAATTCCATGATTATTGTGTTTTAAATCTTCTTCACTAAGCTTTGACCATGAACTGTCCACAGAACTGTTGGAGCTATTTTCCTGATTCAAATGATCATATGATTCCATTTTCAAAGATTCACTAGTGGTTGGTTGATTGTCCTCGATACATGGCTGTGGGGTGCTGGATTGACGCGGTTTGTCACTCTTGTCGTTGTCGTCGTCATCAGTTGGCAGACTGGTTGATTTTTCAGGTAAAGAAAGCTTGTCCTCTGATGCTGATGATGATGTGAGTTTTTCTACGAAAAGATTAAGGGACCCAAAAATTGACAGAGGGTAATCTTGCGATCTGATTGGCTGACAGCTATGATACAACTTTTTCCTTGTTTTTAGATGTTTTTATTTTATTTTATTTGTGTGTGCATGTGTGTGTGTGTGTTGGGTATGTGTGGTGTCGGGGGGGGGGGGGGGGGGGGGGGGGGGGGGGGGGGGGGGGGGGGGGGGCTATAGTCTCCACAGTCTAACCTAACACCTAAATATGTGTGTGACATCCTATTTACCTGTAGATTTATTGGGATCTTCAGTGGCATTTTCATTACCCATTTTTTTCTCACCAGAGGACTCATATTGGTCATCTGTCTCTAAGGGCTTCACTTGCTCCTCACAAACAGCTTTGGTTTCATCAGCAGGGGGTAGTTTTTTTGGATTATTTTCATTCTTTAAATCATTTCTATTCTTTTGACTTTCTCCATCCTGTTTGTTATCAGGAACTGTTGTCTCATTCTCTAGAAGGACAAGTTTATCCATTCCTGAAGATTTTGTTGGGTCTTTGGAGGAAGATTCTTCAACATCCCAAGAATCATCTGCAAAAGAAATAAGAAATATGAGTATATGCCAAGACTGCATATTGTTACATAACTCAATAAATAATACACTGGTTGAGTCACAAAGAAATAATACTCAAGGGAATGACTTTCGGTCCTTTGTTTTCATGTCTCTAAATGAGACAGGATTGCCAGATCTTACATGGTCATCCAAGCCACAGCAAAGATGTAACATCTGCAGAGCAGCTTACTTAGATATAAGACCCTGATCCCTGGGGCTTGAGTCCATGACCTCCCACGTAACAGTTGTGATCATGCATTAACTGTTCTAACTAGGTGGCAGTCAGGAATATTTTTTTCCATATAATCATTACCTTCATCACCCCATCCAAGTTCTTCTTCTTCTATCTTATTAGCTCTTTCTACAAGTGCTGCTTTTCGTTTTTCCTCCTACAAGCATCCATAAACAAATGGGTAACAGGTTATATAACGATAATGATTCCTCTGCATTTTTCGCATACCTAATATATGTATGATTTAGACCCTGATGATGGCCCTGACCCTATCCCAGACCTAAAACTTTGATTTTACATACCCTACCCCAGACTAAAACTAAGAATTGTACACCCTATCCCAGACTAAAAGACGGAAAATACGGTTTTACAATCGATTGCAATCAATATCTACTAACATTCTTATTGTTTTTTGTTGGCAGAAAGCGTAGCCTATTCACCAGACAAAAACGACTAAATCCTAACCCTATCCCAGGCTAAAATGATACCCTATCCCAGGCAAAATGTCAAAAAATGATACCCTACCCCAGACCCAAAAGCCGAAAAACCATGCCCTATAGGGCGGCACATACCCGTATAGCAAATATAGGTAAGTACCCCCCCGGGCAAATCACTAATTCTCAAGTTAAATCTCCTTTAATCTCATAGAACTTACTTGTTCAAATTGGTGAATTTTGTAAAAGTAGCGGGCCCAAAAGAGATAGTTGGTCACAGCAGAAGGAACCTGGTTAAAAAAGTCATAAGACAACAATAATGAAACATGGCTTTTCTATTCATAGATTTTACAACATGCAATGCAAGTTAGTAAATTCTTCACCAAAAGAAGAAAAAAACCCTGACAACAACTAAAAGTGGTCATTATAGAAATATATAATGTAAACAACTCGAAGTTTGTTTTCCACAGATTTTCGCATCTTTTTATTTAAAAAAAAAATATTTTCCTTGTCTTAATGCCACAACTACTGGAATCCTTTTCATCCCCAATAATATTGTTAGTCATAACAACCACAAAAATAATTTTAAAGACATTGGAATAAAAAACAAATTTGAAAAAAGATTTTTTAAATAGTGTTATCACATGGGAAATGGAGAGGTCTGATAATTAGTTTACCACTCTTTTGTTGGGGACTCACAAGTTTTGTGTATAAAGATCTAATCTCTGGCCTGTTAACAAGAAGCTCTGATATCTCTGCCTTGTGTTGCTCAAGATCAAACTTCTCACGCCATTCCTCAAAATGAGCTGGATGACCTGCAATACAATATAATATCATCATCATATAAATAAACCTGTCAGTATTAAGTGGCAGAAATGGGATGAGACGCAGAGGAAATTGAAATTTTATAGAAATCAATACACAGTCAAATCCCACCACTAAGAGTGATTTATGGTTTTTCAGGTCTTTTAAGAAGGTGACTAGTCATTAAAAGTCTCTCTTCCTTGGGGCATATAGTACTATTTATTATCTAGACATTAGTGTTTTACTGGAAAATATGCCACTTGTATTTTTCATGCGAAGTACATACGGGTACTCAGTGAAATATTTTCCATATCCTTACTAGTATAGATATCGATGACGTCTTTTCCAATGTTTTCAACTAGTTTTTGTTTGTGAATGCGTTTCTATAATAAAAAGAAAATTACACCTTGGCTTGTAGATATGAAGTTTATCTTCTCATGTTGAAAAACACTTCACCCACTCAAAGATAAACGTCATATCTTTGCACCAACGTGTTATCCTCTATATATGTGTGTGTATATAAATTATGACCTACCATCTGGATCATTACAGTATGTTGATGGGTCTGTCTGAATCTCATGTACACGAGCCTGTTGAACAAACATTCAGAATAAATGCCAAATACACGTACACAAACCATCATAGTGTTCTGAATAATAATATGCTGATAAACATGACCTCATGAGAGAAAAATACTAAAAGAGACTAGTTATCCATAAGGCATAAAGTTATTGTTCATATAAGTTAGAGTGGTTCTCGTATTAATGGTAAACTATATGGTACCGACTTATAGCACAATACACAGGGTAGTACACAGAACATGCTGTAACATTGAAATGGCTTCCCATTGTCTCCCAGTAATTCATATCAATCATGTGTAGTAAGTAATACCTGTACGACTATCAGGGTAATAATAATTAAGATATAGTAAAGCCATGGTAAGGCTATAATTTTGCTGTATCGTTTCTGAATTATGTGAAAACTACTCTTAAATTGTAATAGCTTAGTGATCGAAAGCATTGCCAAGCTAAGATATACCTGAATTCTATCAAAAACTGGAGCAGGTTCACTGCTTGTTGGCTCTTCATCAACTATTGCCGTCATTTGAGAGACATTTTCTCTTAAAGCTGTAGACAAGGAACCAAGCCATTGGGAAACACCTAAAACAGAAAAATACAGAGTCAACCTTCAAATTTTATCAATAAACTGAAACAACCTCAGGATGGATAAAAGTCAGAGCAGTACGGCTAATTCATATAATTTCACATGTTAGGTTTTGCTGGGGGAGGAAAACTAGAGAGCCCAGAGAAATGGCTTTGAATTAAGGAAGATACCTAGAATACTCTACTCACAAGTGATGCTAAGTATGGGAATAGAAAGGAAAGTTATTTTAGAGTTATATGCCAAATTGTGAAGAAAGTGCTTGTCAAACCTTGTCGAATGACAGCAGTTGTTGAACCATCTGTTTCGTCTTCTTCAACCTGGATTGAATTAATGCAATTATTTTGAGATAGTATAGAGCAAAAATCTGAAGTTAAAGACTATGCTATTTGATTTAAAAATAAAATAAAATATCATGAAAAGCATGGAATTTATTTGAGTTTTTTGCCCACTGGTGCGGGTGCTACACAATAGGAGGCAAGGGTTCCCATTTCCAACCCCATAAAATCCCTAAATTATTCCCACAATCAACCCTTTTAAGAAATCATTAGTAATTAAAGTCCAGACACTGAGAGTGGTCACTGCCAGGGTTTCTTTATGTTCTTATGCAGTGGTTCTTTTTCATCCCTCTGTTGCAGGTTGAGGTAGTGTGAAGAGACTCTGCTCTGCCATTTTACATGGTTATCCAAGCCTCGTGATGCTGAAGCTAGTGTTGCTCCAGATGAGACTTGACCAACTGAGCCAACAGGTGGCCGTTAAATTCTAATTTATTCTATTTGATGTACCTTAAGTTTTTCTTTAACATTGGAAGCAGTTTCAGCTACAGTAACTGTTGTGTCATGTTGTATAGTGGTGACAAATTCAGACAAATCTTGCTTTACTAGTGACAGTGTTTCTGCAGACTTGAAAAATAAAAATCGTATTATTATCATATAGAGTATGAACCACAATTAAATACTTAAAATTGTACATGTATTTACAAGAAATTTCTTTAGGCAAAATCTAGTGGAAGAAGATATTTGTATTACATGTTTTTCTCGAATTCCTAAATTTGTTACTCGAAAAAAGCCAATTTATATTTTAAGATACTATCTACAAGTATCATATTTTGTAATTCAAAGATAAATAATTTTTATCTTCTTGGAACAAGGTCTAAAATACAAGATAATGATGCATGAATATCGAAATTCTAGAAAGTAATGAACTCACTTTTGCTTTAACATTGGACAAGAATTCAGTTCCCCAAGCTCCCCACCAACTTTCTCCGCCGCTATAAGTGAAACAGATAAAATTAAAGTTAATAGAGCAACTATTGATAACAATTTGAGTTGATTTGAGGAGTTTTCGTGGGAGGAATAACGATTTATATCTCAGAGAAATTTTTCACCAACCTTTCTTCCGCCATCTTGGAATGATGTTATTATTGATGACGCCACGGTATACGACGTCACTTCCCTTGGAGGGTACGGACGGGGATTTTTGTTGCCACGAAGAGAATCGAAGCTCTCCAAATCAATCGGCAACATAAAGCAAATCGTCAAATACATAACTACTTGCAGCAACTTGTTTATTATGTACAGCAACTCGTTTCTTATATACAGCATCTCGTTGATGCAGTAACTCGTTTCGTATTTGCAGCAACTAGTCTTGCCTCCTACGCAGACGTTCTTAGTACTAGTGTCCGTCACTACTGAGAGCGTCTGCATAGCCGTGAGGCTAGACTACTGTAACAGGCTCAGTGCATGTCCCTTACGGGTCACCGTACCACCTTCTATTCCCCGTTACTCCCTTAAATTTCCGGCAGGCGGTATAGATCTTTCCGCAGACTCCGTACGGTGAGCCTTACTAGACGAAGTCAAGCAATGCTAGAAGAAGAAGAAGAAGGAGAAAGAGATGTAGAGAAATAATAAAAATGATTGAAAAATCGTAATAAGAATAAAAACTCACAAAATACGATAGTCCTAGTCATTTCATAATCACTGCTACACTTTTCCAAAACAGACAGTTTCTAAAATTCCATCCGGAGTAAGTTTCAACATCGACAGCTCGATTTTTTGAATGATTCTAGCGGTTTAATTAAGCCTTATTGATAAATTACTAATGACTTATTTACTGAGCGTGGGATTGAATTCCGTCCAGGTAGCCTGCACTAAATGCGGTAACCGTGGTAGGAATAAATTAGTTTAGTGAATATTTTATTTGATTTTGCTGTGAAAAATCGGTGCATAAATTTCCTTTACGATTAAAAGCAGTAAATTGGATTTTCGAAATTCGTGCAGGTATTGCTGCCGTTTACTGCATTTAGTGGCTTCGCGCGCCTTTCAGCTGACTTCCCCTCAGCCTTCCTTTCTTTACCGCTAATCTTGTGCCTTCAGTTTTCCCTCCGATATCTATCAATCAGATGGCTTTCCTAAACCAAATCAACCAATTTTCCTTATATCAGCATTTCATTGGCTTCTCTCTCCTGATATCTAAATGGCTTTCCTGACTTTGAATTGGTCTCCATTCCTTCCCA